TTTGAAAACATCACCAAAACAGATTTTCCTGGTTGAGATATTGCATATACTCGGAGGGTGAATAGTGCTTTTCGTGCAATTTAATTCATTGGTTGCTAATCTCAAATCGTACTATGGGCATTACCTTTCTAACTGACTTAATCGGCAACGACAAGATCTAGGACTAGAATATTATGTAAACTCGTTTTATAGTTTTCAACTTGCCAAGAAGACCAGTAATACCGCTATATTATAAATGGATAACAGATACAAATATTTCCACTAATTACCAACGGCAACTATATAATACAATCAACAACGGTACTATTTATGTACTATTTGGATATTCTCAGACTGATCAAGAATGAAGTTCTAGCTAGTAAAACCATTTTCTAACAAAATAATTCACTATGAAGTCACGCTCTAGTATTGAAGTCACGCTCTTGTATTCAAGTCCCTTGCTTTGGAGAAGAAATATATCTTTAGAGAACCCTCATATATAGCGATTTTGTCCATAAGAAACTCATATGAACGTTTCTCAGGAGACCATCCGGCACTCCATCCCCCTCCCTAGCTTAGAAACGTCACACATAGTTATCGATATTTTGTTCTTACAGTACACATGCATATGGCAATTTTCTACTATTTCCTACGGCCGGCTATTGGCGATGCTTCCTCGAGGAATATGTTATCTACTGGCGTATGTTTTTATTAATATATGAACTTCAAAATTTCCAACGTTTCTCAAAACAATTTTTTACCTGAAATATTGACAATTTTAGTGCGTTTTTCTTGAAACTTGAGTGTTTTCAATGCAAGGAAGGCGCAATATTATAAATGTATAGAACTGATATGGCATTACGAATGTATAAACTGGTGTTTGTATCAAGTTGTTTTCTTTTTTATCTTCTACAAAAATGATAACGAAATGTTAAGGCTTTCGAAAAAATTATCAAATTTTTCATGATCCCTTACAGAGAAACGTCACAGCTGCAAACCCGAACGAACATATGACGTTTCTCGTTGACAAAATCGATATGTGAAGCTTCCCTTGGAAAGGTAGCTCGCCTTCATTGGAACATGCCTAAGATTTGTGTACTGCAAGTGCCGCTATATATTATTTTTTTAAATCGTAATTGTCGCCCTGAATGAGCTGTTGTTTACAAATCCTTATTCTCTCATTTCACGATGTCATTGTCTCTATGAAATTGTATAGGAAAAGCAACGGAGATCTTAATAAAATATATTTCTTAAAATTGCTGAAATTTTACATTCTCCCTCCTTATATTTATGAATATTTTTGCGAGTATACACGCGCGTCACTTGTTTACATCAGGGCGCTTATATATAGGGCGGTGAAACGGCTATAGGCGCGCCGATCGATGTGTGATGCAATGAACTGGTAACGAGTTTGTTGTGGTTACTATGGCGACGTTGTCTTATGGCAAGGATAAGTCACTGAGCTGTATAATAACTGGAGGACCTGCTCCTATACTTCGTTCAGTGATCAAAGTGAAGCCAAAAAAATGGCGGATTTTGACGTTTGCTGACGCCATTTCCATGACAACTGGTCCGTAATTCTCACAGAATTGCCACTGACCAACCGCGATCCTGAGCTTCAGACGACGTTTTCACCCCCCTGGTTTTGGCAGAGTTTTTAGTTAAAAACATAATATTTTCTCGAGCTCGTATTTTGCTGGGTTTTTTTTACAACTTGGAAGGAATTAAAGTGCCGTTTTGCTCCGCTTGCTGATGCAACAATTTATTTTACATAAAGAACGAGTAATTCTTTTTACAGGTAAGATTTATGGGACGGATAGAACGAAATTATAAAAATATTTTCTCAAAATTTAACACTTGTTCACTTGACTTCACTCATCATGTCTAATGAACTGCAAATATTTCAATATTGGACATAAAAAACCTTGTAAAATTTGTGGTCATAAGATTTACTGTTTTGTTTTATCCCTGGCAATGTGTCTCTTACACAGATTATGGTATGAAAATCATTTAAATACACTTAAAATATAGACCAGGATTAGCACATGCAAGGCCAGAGAGGGGGTCAAAATAGCCAGGGCCACTACAGTGGATTCACTTGTTATGACATCAACATATAGTAGTGTACTGTTAACGACTGTTAGTGGTAATGGCCCAGATATACAATAAATTGACTGATCAGATTTTGTCATATAATCAAGTGACAAGTATTAAGAGACTCCAGAAACTGTTAAATTTAATATTGTGATCAGTGGCAAAGCCAGTAAAACAGAAGTGGGGGAACAATCAATGGCATCATTAAGAAATTGGAGGGAGCTGCCGAAGGCATGAGCCTATTAGCGGTTCTGGGGGCACACTCACCCAGAAGATTTCGAAAATTATCTGAAAACATCCACATCATCCCTACACAAGAAATGTGAAGTTGCAAGCCCCTGTCCTATTTATAGTGTATTTTGCTTTTCTCAGGAGTATAGATTCTAATCGTCCCCTCCAGACAGCATAAATTTCCTCCACATATAGTTGGAGTGTGGATTTTTCTGGAATATGACTTAATGTTCAAACTATACATGTACATGTATTTCCACAACAGAGCGGGATACACAAAGAACTACAACAAGAATATTTTTATTAATTAGTAAACCTTAAACTGTGGATCCTTCCTCTCTCTTGAAAAAATTGTTATCTTAATTTCTTTGTGATTGTCTTGACTTTCATGAAATTGCATGGTTACATGAAACAAAGAAACTATGATCATTAAACTAGTGGATCATTTACCATTTCATATATGTAAAAGGAACTTTATTAAGTGTATATGCAGTTTTGTGGATGAAAAGAAGCATGCATCCGCAATTTTTGGTAATAAATGCTGTTTTTCAGGTGGAAGAATGTGTAATAATATTGGTGTAATATGATTGTTGTCTTTTATCGTGCAGGAATTATTGGCTACACTACAGAATATGACAAAACATGGGATGTACATGTACAAGGCATTAAAATGCAGATGGCAATCATCAGGGCCTTTTTTAACATACAAGCTGGGGGGGGGGGCAAATGCACCCCAGTCCCCCCTTGTGCCCCCACGAAATCACATTTTGCCCCCCCCCCAGGAAAAGTCCATTTTTCCAAAGTAAGTTTTAGGCTTTATCCTTTGTCCGTGTTTAACAAAATCGATTTAAATTGTTACTTTTTTTACCACTAAGTAATGATAAATTATTGTTAATAATTTTTTATTTTTTGGATGCTCAGAATGCAGGAAATAGCACTTCCGTGCTTCAAATTTCAAAAATTTTCAGGGGGGAGTACACCACCACACACCTGACCATTGCCATCCTCCTGTATTAAGTAACGATAAATGATGATTAATTTTTTTTTACTTTTTGTGCGTTTTTTCCTTTATTTATTTCAAATACAAGTATAGTTATCATACGTTTTGGAGCAAATTTGGATGCTCAGAATGCAGGAAATGACATTTCCGGGATTCAAATTTCAAACATTTTCTGAGGGAGTACTCCCCCAGACCACACCCATTCATGCGTGGTATATTGGCCACACACGTAGCCTTCAGCCATTGCTACCCCCCCCCCCTCTAATATATTATCTCACAGAAAAGTCCCTTTTCAAAAAATGCCCCCCACGGGAAAATCCTTAAAAAAGGCCCTGGCAATCATTGATGGATTTTCTGGGGGGGGGGGGGTGGCGGGGTGCAACCCCAATATTAATTTAGTATCTTCACCACCTCAGAAAGTTTTTCCAGTACCACAGAAATTTAAATGCTGCTTTGATTAAATGACAGCAATATAATTGAACAAGAATTTTGAACTAACTATAGACTAAAAACAAGGCCAATATTCTCGAAATATCTTGGGGTCGTTGCCCCCAACCTTACCCCAACTGTGTCCCTACTAGTGACTGTACCCTCAGACTCTTACTGCATCTTACTCAGCACACTACTTGCTCCTTGCTCACTTTTCTGCACACCCACACTCCCCAAGCAAAATTTGAAAATCTGTCTATGATGGTGATGATAATTAACTTATAAAAGTATAAACCTTTATTATTAAGTCAATTAAAGAATCATTGTCAACTACAATGCATTGCATGCTCGTGTTTGTTTATACATATGGGATCTGTGCAATTAAATATGATAATTATTTGCATGATATGATAAGTACTGCGCTGCCTGCTATTACAGTATTACTTGAAAGCCTTCAGGGGTAGATCCAGCAAGGTTTTTCTAGGGGGTGCTGGGTTAGCAGCCAAGTGTTTCTTTATAATTTTTTAGGGGGTGGTGGGAGTGAAACGACTCAAACACTAAAGGCGCGAGCTTCCTAGGGAGGGTGTTGAGGGATATGCCCCCAGAAAATTTTGAAAATTAGATCCGTAGAAATGCTATTTCCTGTGATATGGACATTGAATTATGAGCTTCAGTTTGACTTCAAAAAAGGGAAAACCTTGGAAATTTTGCCATGTTTCTGAATTTGATTTTATTCCACCCCTGTTGACCAAGGCCAACAGGGGTGTGCACCCTCCCCATTAATCCACCCCTGAATTAAGTTAACACATACTCCACTACATCATGTATACTTAATTACAATAATTTTAGTGTTAATTTAAAATTATTCACTATTAATAATTTTACTGTATTGAAAAGTCCAATTAAAATAGTTCAAAATGAATCCAGCTTTTGTGTCTTCAATTTCCATACATCTTGCTTGTACTGTATTTTGCCTGCCCTACTTTTACTTGTCAATGGGAGAGCCACTCTATGGGTTAACTGGGAAACCAGAGTGAGTCAGGAGAAATGCCAGATTACGATATCCCAATTGTGAGATAATTCTGGAATAAACAAAAATATATTATATGTTGTAACTTTGAGCACAAAAATGATGATGGGAAAAACAAAACAACGCGACTCAATTCCAAACCAGAGACACCAGAACCATTGGTGCAATTATCAGGCTTAACCCATTGAGCCGCAATGCGCCCCAGCGTGCCCTACTTTTTTTTACGTGTCTGACACCAGATGATTTTACTTGTCAATTGGGGAAGCTCTGCAGCTTAATGGGTTAACCAAAAAATCTGACAATGCCTCTAGTTAACACATTGAGCTGCAGTGCACCCTACTTATTTGTTTAACTTGTTTAACGCCGGATGATTTTACTCGTCAATGGGGAAGCTCTGCAGCTTAATGGGTAATTAATAGTATAATAATCAAAAGTGGCCAGGATACAAGGTATTTTCCCAGTGCATGGGAAGCAACATACAGTAGTTACGAAGTAATTGCCAGATTGCCATCCAGTATCTGGTGTTCTAAAGTTTCTAAATTGTTAAACCCATTAAGCTGCAGAGCTTCCCCATTGATGAGTAAAATCGTCTGGTGTTAGACATTAGTAAAAAAATAAGCAGGGTGCACTGCAGCTCCCAACATGTTGTAAATGGCCAATGTAACATCTTTTCACCACACAGCAACGTTTTCTTGGGGGTGGGGGGTATATATAAGTTATATATACAGGTATTTTGGGAAATATTTGAGTACTCCAAAAGTCTTGTCACATTGACATTGATTAGCCTTGTATGCAAACTTTGCACATATTTACACAAAACATGAATATATTTAAACACATACGTGACATACTGTTTGCTTTGAAGGAACGTCTGGAGTTAATAGCATTTTCTAAAGTAATTTATAAATAACAAAAAGTTGTAGTTATGGCAACCAAATTTTGAAATATACAGATGCCAAATTACACCAAAAAACCAGCAAAAGGCTGTTTTCTTAACAAAAAGAGTGCATTTCATCGTCAAGCTTAAGTTAAGCCTGCCAATTTTATGTGAGATAAGATAAAGCATAAATAAAATTGAATGAAATAGGTCAAATACCTATTTATAGCTCGCTGATTCAAATATCCTTTTGGCTTTGCTCGTATTTTGCGAGGACAGCGAGGTTTGAATTTTGTTTTCTTTCCCGGGAAGAATAACACGCACGACTTGCACATCTTTGAACCAATAACCGAATTTAGAAAAAATATCTCAAAAACAATTTAAAAATCGAGTCAAATATCGAGAAAATACTACAAAACCCGAGCAAAATTGCAAAAACCTAAAGTTTTTAAAGAAAACCAGGGGTGTGTGGAAATTGTAGCGGGCTCAGATCCGAGCCTGGTCAGTGGTAATTACCATGAGAAATACGGACCAGTTGTCATGGAAATGGCGACAGCAAAGACCGAAATCCGCCATGTTTTTTGGCTTCACTTTTTTTCCCGTGCAGGTCCTCCAGTAATATAGTATAGCTCAGTGGGATAAGTATGGCGGGAAACTACTGAGCTGGAAGTTTTGACTGTTTTGTAGTCAAGTTTTGATGAAGAAATTGATATTGGGGGTAAAATTCCGATGTTATACGATAATTTAGTAGATTCTGCTATTGTATTTTCAGGTAATACTGCCAATATTTTAGAGTTTTTGCTCAAAACGCTTGCGAAAGCTTACGAACGGTTGCTTTCGCAAGAAGCATGACGTGAAAGGTTTTTAAAACTCTTCGTACGTACACGTATATCGTTCACGTTCGATAGAATATAATTCATAATTAATTTTAGCCACTAGTTGATCTTTTCAGTTGAAAATCAAGAAATGCTCAACTTGAATTTGTATTTTTTTAACGAATCCTTACGAGAAGTTGTCTTGGCCAGCCGGTCAAAAAAAATCAAAGTTGGGACGAAACTTTTTCGACTATTGCGCTCAACAAACGTCCGAGCGAGTAGCCCGCGTGCAGGCCCAAGGGAGCAGGCTCAAGGGAACTTGATAGTGGGCCTGCAAGCAAGGCCCGGTATTTTGTACTTTCCGCGTTCGCCCACGAACGCAGCATTCTGATTGGCTGTTTGCTGTTGGATTCTATTATTAGGTCAGTGATTCATCACAAAGGCATAGACAAAGGCTCTCGATAAGCTTAAAATTCGAAAATTGATCACTTTTTTCGATTACAAATGAACAAGAACAGACTGTTTATTGTTTACTTGAAGGAAGAGATGTTTTTGCCGTTATGCCAATGGGGATTGCTTGTCGTAAGGTGTTGGAATAGCAACATTACGACTGGGGTAAACTCTAGTAACCTTTACTTGAGTTTCATTAATTTCAAACAGACTTGATACGTTATATGTTCCCCAAGAAAATGATCTTTTGGTTGATGTTGAGATGCAGTTGCATGTAAGCCTATTCAAAACACTTTGCGATTTACAAGGCTTCGCTGAGAGAGCGAAACAGAAGACGGTATTAAATTGCCGTTTGAAACGAAACGATCTGGACTCTGAACGCTCTCTTCTTTTGTAGAGTTATTTACCAAATGAAATAACTAAAATAAATTTCGTACTTTCCGCCGCCAACAAGAATTGCACACACGATCTGATAAGTGAGACAATTTATTTATAACAATGGCGACAGCGAAGCACACTGCACACATAATATAAATGCTGATGTGGTCGCACGACTTCCCTCACGATTTGAAGTTTGAGACTGGTTTTCTGTTGAAATTCGTCTTAATTTGCCTGTTCCGATTTTAGTTGAAAATGAGCACCGGCAAATTTGTCAATTACTGACGGCGTTGCTTGCTTTTTTGGAGTTAAAACGCAGCCATTTACACATTGTTTATGTTCTGAATAAGCAGAGAAAACCCCGCAACATTTTAATGCGAGTTTGTTTGTTAATATTTGGGTGCTGTCATTGGTTCTTTTTTGACAATTGACGCGCGAATGGGGCGTGTTATGAAAAGGGGCGTTTTACAAAATACCGGGCCTTGCTTGCAGGCCCACTATCAGTTCCCTTGGGCCTGCACGCGGGCTACCGAGCGAGTCGTATTTTGATTCAAAGGCCAAGAAGTAAAATATGTTTACGGCACAGAATTACTTCAATTGAATGCCTTAAAAGTCGTACAAAATTATTAACACAATAACAAACAATCATGACATGGCCAAAATACAATTGTTGTTTATTTTTTTGCAGCGAAATAATGGTCTAACGAGGCAAAATTGAACACACAAAAATACCTCACTTTCCAACGCTGTGTATTCAATTGCTCAACTCCAAGTCTTATCAAAACGTTTGGAGATAAGCACATAATTATAATCTTTACCATCAACTGAATTTCGAAGTTTGGACGACTTGATAACATGCCCAAATGCTGTTTTGAAAATTTCTCTTCATTGAAGTCATCAAAAGCCCGACTCATTATCCTCAATATTTCTTTCAAAATCCAACTATACAGGCCAAACAAGCATTTGTACGATACACTAGTTACTACTTCGTCGTTACAGTGCAAAAACAACCTCAAGAATTTCGTAGTTAATGAAAAAACAGCGAATATACAACAGCAAAAAAAATCACGCTCCTTGTCAACTATTGCCGAAAAGCACGCTCGTGCCAGTCCTTTTCCGCATCACACATCGATCAGCGCGACATCAACGCGTTGCACCGCCCACTATATAAGCGCCCTGGTTTACATCTACCAAATGTCGGGGCTTAACTCGAATGCTTAAATCGTTAATTGACTTCGAGTTAATTAGGCCCCGGGGCTTACTCTTTTTTGGTTGTTATTTCAAATTTTAAACTGAAATAAAACATCTTTAAAACATCTTGATTGTTACTCAGTAACTTAGAAATAATTTTATAAGAGTAACCCCACTCCTGACGTCAGCAAAACAACAGTTAATAAGGTTCAGAATCCAAGATGGCCACCGGACAGCAAGGGTGGGTAGTAGCGAAGTTGTTGTATTTCGCTACTGTAGCGAACTACAATTTTCAAGTAGCCAGTAGTTTTTGACTACTTTTTTAAAAAAGTAGTTGTAGTTATAGCGTACTATATTTTGCTTAAAAGTAGCCAAATAGTTGACTACTTTTCAAACAGCGTATCGCTATTCGCTACTTTTTAAAATTGTTAGCAACCGTTCATAGAATAGAATGATATTAAGACACGGTTTGCTTAAAAGATTATTTTATACAGTAAAGATTATTTTAGCGCAATAAAAAGTGCCACTCCTGAACACTGTAGTGCTTACAAAAATGTTTCTTTGATCCTTTTTGTTTACTGTTCCTACATATTTTTGAAGAAGCTGTAGTTATAGCGAACTACAAAAATTTTGTAGTCAACCCATTCTTGCCGGGCAGCTTCTTAGCTATAGTTTCATTCAAAATATATCAAGAAATATAAGTTTGAAATAAACACTCTGGCTATGAGAAGACTTTGCAGATAAATTAAACCTGTGAAATAATGAGACTATATGTTTTTAATAATAACTATTGCATATTAGTATAAACCTACTAGTAGGCTATCATGTATCGTGCGTTCTGATTGGCTACGCTACTAGTAGGCTATTAGTGATAGCCTACTAGTAACAACAGCGGCGAAGGGCGCGAGAGTCAATGGCCGTTTTTAAGCATTAAAAGCTGTATTTAAAGGGGAAAAGCTTATCAAAATGGCCCAATTTTGGTTCCGGATTACACACAAACAAAGACTCTTGGAAACTGCTGACACATGCGGTAAAAATTTTAAGTTTTCTCAACTTTGCTCGTAGTTTTGAACATGAAAGTGACAGGCGATTTTTTAAAATGTGCAGAATGTTTGTTAATATTCCAAGCAGAATCGTTGAAATTCAACAATACTTTGCAGCTATTTACCCCTATTTTCTCAACCTCTTTAGTGTGTGCTTGTTTTAAGTACGAGTTCATGTATTTAGCTGTCATTTTAAAGAGTTTTTTTTCGTTTAAATGTTGAGATTTTGGCCGAGTTTGTTTTTCGTCTTTTTCGAGCCTTTTTAAGTCGAGTTTTTTTATTAAATTTTAATCTAAACTATTGTCTATGTATACTAGATTAGGGAAATGGTTTGCCTCTTTATGTTCCAGATATGTTAAAGATTTCAAAGACATTCGGATAATCGGATTCTTTTGCATGTGTGCGCATTTTTATTCGGCTTTTTAACGACGTAAACTTTATTTACTAATTTAATAAAAATTCGGGAAGCCATTTTGTGTTCGAAATTTTGGATTTTTTAAGCCTTGTTTCCTTCTTTTAAATAAGTTTTAATTAACCAAACTTTGCTTCTATATACTGTTTTATGACATGCTTTTTAACTTTTTTAAAACTCACAAGTTGTATTTTTCAAGTCATTCTTGGGAGTTCGCAACACTTAGTAGTTGTCAACAAAGACAAGACGAAATGTCGCCAAAGCCAAGGAAGCCATTTAAACGCTCATTTCTTTAAAACGTTATTTTTTTTACATAAAAATCAAGTGAAAAATTCCGTTTTCTTTATGTGGTTTATACTAAAACAATTAGACAACTCAGCCTCGTTGTCTTTGAACGAATAGTCAACTCGGCTTCGCCTCGTTGACTATTCGCTCATAGACAACTCGGCCGGCTTCGTTGTCTAATTGTTAATTATCGCACGTTTTACAGTCCACATAAACGCGACCACACCCCTCCCCCTCCCCCTCCCATACCTTACAATGTTGGTTCCCAGGGTATTTTTCATCGAAACATGTTGTTAAAAAGTTAGGAAATGTCAAATACCATATTTACTCGTTTGAGTGCCGCGGCGCTCTTTAAATTTTCAGAGCTTCAGATACGGCCCTCATTCGGGGACGGCGCTCAATCGGGGACGGCGCTCTTTAAAAAAACTTTTATTTGTGAATTATAAGAACTTTTAACAATAAAATAAACAAGTTTTAAATGTCTTTGTCACTAAATGTCCCCATTTTGACGATGGAAAGTTTTTACACTGTTTAGTGCGGCGCTCATTTGGGGGCGGCGCTCTTTAAAAAAAATTGATCTCAAATGCGGCGCTCATTCGGGGGCGGCGCTCAATCGGGGGCGGCGCTCAAACGAGCAAATACGGTATGCGTGAATTCATTAATATGGTCAGCGGGGGCGGAGGATGCGATTAATTCTATGATTGTAGATATTTAATCTTAAATATGTATATGTATTTTAGTCGAAATCTGATTGATCAATTCCTAATCATTTCCCAAAGAGCGCGGTTCTCGTAGTTCCCATCAGTCATAACACATTTTGGAGATCCAACCCAACCACCTTTAATGCGAACAGGCGGCTCACCATACGAAAGCACATATCGAAAATTCACCACACTCTCGATAAGATATTTTCCTTCTCCCTGGTGGACGATCTTCCAAACAGCACGATTATCATAATTAGCGTCAGATCCAAGACAAGGTGGAGCTTCTGCCGTCCCTCCTTCACAACCACGATCACCTTGAAACTCGTCTCCCTCTGAGAAAAGATATCTTCTTGTTTTATAATTCTGAAATAAATATCTTCCTTGTCCATGACTCAATATTTTCCATAAAGCGCGATTATAGTAGTTCGCATCTGAACCAAGGATTCTAGTTCCGATACTTCCGATCCTCGTTCTACAACTGTGCTGCCAGGCGAAAACATCAACCTTTTAGTTCTTACGTTTTTCACCTTGTATATACCTTGAAATAAACACAGTTTGTTCAAACGGACGATTCGTATGGAACTGGACTGGGGCTGGTAAATCAGGATGATTCGTTAAAGCTCTTATCGTGGCTTTGGTAAACATCCAGAATGACATTTCAAGTTGAATTAGCTTTTTTTAAATTTATTCCAGTGGCAATATAGAGTTTATTCAAACGATTTTTAAGGCCATGAAAGTTGTTATGTGATTTATTCTGGCAATCCCAGCTCATACAAGCAGCACAAAAGGACGCCCTCCCACTTTTTACTTACAATTATATAAGGTTATTATAAATTATTAAACTAAATGTATCTTATTATCTTGGGAATCAAAATGTGTGATTCAATGTGAGTATAGCCATAAGCATTCATCTAACTGATATGATTTTGAACGCATTGACATCTGGGTAAGTATTTCATGCAGGATTATTGCCCCATAGTGAAAAAATCCTTCATACAGCCCTGCGTTCTTGTCGTCGCTCCAGCAATTCAATACTTTAGTTTGGTAGATGAGTGGCATCTGATATCATTCTGAATGCATGCATTCACACTTGGGCACTTATTTCAACATACAGGCATGTTACTCGTGCCTTCCACGTGGTTTAAAATCATGCACGCATGTGGCCCTGGATTTGAATTAATATCATTATGTATGGATTTGAGTTTGAGTCAACTTTCAAATCAACTCACAATTCAAGTTATTGAGATGATTTATTGTGATTCCATTTGAAACTGCAATTGGGTTTGAATAGGGAGATAATTTAAACTTCGCCGTTTCCAGCCAATGACAAGTTAGATCCGGCTTGAATCGATTCAGGTTTCAAATTTAGACTGAAATTTAGCTTTGAGTTAGAACTTAAGTGAAAACGAAAATAAATGCAAATGTCCAACTAAATTAGATCGGGTGAATACAAAGATTTCTTCCAATTTTTGCCCAAATACAAAGATGTGCTACATTCCATGTTGGTTTTCTTCGCATGTACTACATCCAAATAATGAACCCGGTTTACAAACAAAATGTTGTCAACTATATTATATAGTACATTTTCCTGCTTCGAGAGCAAAATAGATTATTAGGATATAGTAGTTGCACCATGCGTTGGAGACTCCAATATACGCATGTGCTGGTGCGCAGACTCCAATATACCGACATGTATCACATCTTTAAAAAATCCTGCAATGAAGTAAGAATCTTCCCTAAATAAAATTTAGCGCAGATGCAACCTCTTTAATCTGCAGGACATTTATTGGCGGGGACGTTTAGAGAACTAGTCTCAGAGAGACCACATTTACCGGATGTTTGGGATGAGATTTGTAATTAAATAATTGTAATTGTAATTGTAGCTTTGAATTGGGATTGGAGATTAAATCGCGTTAGAACCTGTCTTTGTTTGGGGGAGGGGGTTAATTT